AAGGTCTCCCCAGAGCCTTCTCCAGGCTGAACAACCCCAGTCTCTCAACTTGTCCTCATAGCAGAGGTGCTCCAGCCCTCTGATCAAAACCAGAATGGTTTTGTATATGTATAGGCAATTTAATAATCCATGATAATTGTAAAAAAAGGCATGAATAATTGTAAAACAAGGCATGACAAACAAATGGTTTAGTGTTTTAGATATAAAAAAGTCATAAGGTACATGGCTATTACAATGAGATATGGTTTGGGGCAGTCTGCTTAATGGAGGCGTGATAATAGCAATTGAAGTATAATAAGTATTAGTAAGTTGTGTTGTTATTCCGTTGTCTAATAGTCATGTTTCATTTAATCCTAGTGTGCAGATCTTTCTTAAAATCAGAGAGTATCTTATTCTCCCAGTTCTCTTCAAAAATGGAGCTATTGACAGGATGAAAGTATTCCAGTTGAGAGAGACTGTGCTAGCACGAACGGCCTTGCTCCAGATTTGTTGCTGATCAGAGATGGCAGCGGAGCATTTCTGAAGGACCGGGGAAGCGCGTTCAGACCAATTACTTTATTGTCCCAGCAGCCTTGTAGCACAGAGGGTCATTGCACTCGAAAGCAGAAACAAGTGCCCTGAATCTGTCTGTGTAATTCACCAGAAGAGCTGAGTGGGCTGGGTACTTGTGCTTCCTGATCAAAATTCAGCGTCCTGAATTACTCTCAAAAGGGAATTTTTTTAAAGGCGTAAAATTGGTAGTTAGGCACCTAATTCCCATTTTAAAACTTGTCTGTGAGACTTAGCTGATGGTGGCAAGCAAACCTCTCGCCCAGTTAGTCAAAACACTGCACTTTCTCATTGCAAGGAGTAAGAAAGGTAGGACTATTGTAGAGTTGTCAGTCACAGTATGATCTAAAACTATAGTTGGCTGTGAGATAACAGCTGCTGTGAGAGAAGGGGCAAAGCCATACTCCTTTATTTCTGGAGGGTTTGCCTTTGACATCAGAAGACCTTTCCCAACAAAGGGAGGAGAACTTTTCATAGAACCATAGAATCGTCTAGGTTGGAAGAGACCTTTGGGATCATCAAGTCCAACCATCCACCCTACTCTACAAAGTTCTCCCCTACACCATATCTCCCAACACCACGTCTAAACAGCTCCTAAACACATCCAAGGATGGTGACTCAACCACCTTCCTGGGCAGCCTATTCCAATGCCCGACCACTCTTTCTGTGAAAAATTCTTTCCTAATGTTCAGTCTAAACCTACCCAGTCCCCTTCTTATCCACCGCTCGGTGACTTGAGACAGAGCAATGATGAAGCAGCCCTAAAACTTCCATGCTATACATTCATCGTCCTGCAGAGTCACACTTTAAATGCTTTAAGCTGAAGGGCGTCAGAAAGGTGTTGTTCCTGGTAATTTATATTCTAACAAAGCCATTGGTTTGTCCAACAAACCAGGTGTGTAATTTTTTTCGGTATTTGAGTTTTTTGGAGATTAGGATTAAGTTGTGGTGAAAAAAAGGCTACAGTCTGAGGAAGTGACTAAACTGTTGGGTAAAATGTTTTTAGTGTATGGACATTTTGGCTACACTTACAGATATTTTGCTGAAACCTGAAACAGTTGTTTCCATTTAAACTAGTGTCACGGACTGGGCTGTCCCTTTGTCTCTAGTAGTCTGTGATTCTTACAATGACATTTTCCTATTTAGAATATATATATATATAAATATATATATAATTAGAATGTATTTTTCCCTCTTTTACATTGTACGACAGCCCCAGAGAAACAAAATGAAAATAAGTATACAAGGTACGGAGAGCACAACCAATTATTTGTTGTCATATATACAAGTAAGTGAAAAGAGGGTTTTCTTTTTGATAAGTGGCGATCTCTGGATATTAGGAATTACATGAACTGGAGACAGCAACCATTGGTACCATTACTTTGTAGAAATTCAGGTTTTTTTAATTGTCCACGTATTACTTGAAAATAAAGTAACTGACAATGACATATTTGACTACCAAAAAGTCAGAAGTATGCTAAGGCTTAAGTGAATAACAGAAATCCTAAATACTCCTCTCTGATAATTATAACTATCTCTACTTGTTTTCTTAGGATTCTGGATTAAGATGTTCTGGTTTTTTTTTTTAATGTTATGGTAATATATGCAATGGGTTTAATTTTCCTGGTAACTGCTTTGTCCAAACTGAAGTCCATAATATTCCACCTGAGATCTGCATCCAAAAGATCACCTCACTGTTGTGATTTTCTGTTTGCTGCACACAGAGTGCAAGTCCCCCCTCATCTTAACTTCAGCCGGGATATTTTGTCAGTTTGGCAACTGCAAAAGAAAATAGGTAAGAGTGGGCACACACTAAATGTGCAGTAGGGTCTTGGAAGAAAATGAGAAGCCTTTTTACACCCACCTCTTAATGGGTTGATTTATCCTGGTAATGGAGTTGTATTATCAGTAACTAATGGAGTTTTACTAACGTTAATGGAGCTGAAACCATAACAGAAAGGTCTGTATAACTGATGGTATGGTAAATCCCACCTCCAGAGGAATCGTTATGCCAAACAAGCTCCTTGCAAAGGATTCCTGGGAAGAAATGTATTCTTTTCTCTTGATACCACATCAGAGAAGGAGAGAGAAATAAAGAGTTTGTGGGTTTAATTTTGTGATTATGAAGATAAAAGTTTTCTAACTTTTAAAATTTTGTTTTGTCAAGATGTCCTCAGAAACTGCTGTCTCTCTACATCCTTATCTAAGAAGTACAGTTAGTTTTGATGTCTTGCTACCATTGACAATTTAGTAATGAAGAGATTTAAGGCATTCTGGTCAATTTGGTTACTCAGTTTACCCTTCTATAAATTTAGATTCTGGGGAACTGATAGGACTTATTTAAAAAAGCATTTTACTGAAAGCCCTCCTTTAGATTATGGATGTTTACCCATTTTATGTGCTTATATGTAACTTAATCAGAATAGTTAGGAGCTTTTTGTGTGAGGCATATAGTTTTGCATACACTTTTTCCTATCTGGTACTTCCAGTACTCATCTTTGATTAACTACTCAGACAGTTGAATAGTAAAAGCATTTGGCACTTTTTGGAATGGAGTCTTGGAAATGGCAGAGTTACCTTTTGTAGGTTCTTTTGCTGTACCTGAAATTAAATATTTATAATAACTTAATCAACACAGGGAAAAATTGTTCTTGCGTCCGCTCCCAGGTTTCAAAGACCCATTCACAGAGCACCTGTGAAAGCAGAAGAAAAGGGGACCAACCTTCAGTCTGAGGAAATAAACCTGTATCAAACCAAAATGAACCGTCTTAACATTATGGGAAATTGCTGAGAAAAGGTAGTTTGTCTGTTTGTGCAAAATACATCCCATGTGATGGGAGAGCTGGTTAATGGAAATCATGTTTTCAAAGTTGAGATGAAGAGAAGCTTGAATTATGTTTTTGTTACCTCCAAGAGTGCAGTTATCTTTTCTCTGGTAAATGGCCACTGAGGACTGAAGAAATTCATAACACGTTAAAATCCTGTTGAATGACTCAGGTTGGTTTTACCTACTGATTATACTGTATGGACATATGTGTAATGTCTGGGCTAAATAAAAGTCTGAAGTTATTAAAATGGGTTAATTGCTGTGAGGAATAGAAGGAGTAAGCAAAATAAATGATTTTTCAATACAGTCTACTTTATAACTATTGAATGACTGAAACTGTGCTGTTAACTCCTGGCATATTTCTTATGTGTTGATCAGGTCTTAAAGTTATAGTTGTAGTTTTCCTAGCACTTCACTATTTTTAAACCAAAAATTGATACAAGGAAGTAATCCAAACTGAGAATTAGCTGTATAGAATCAATGATTAAAAGTACAGTAAAAAACCCAAGCAATTTATGTAGTTATGGTATACCAAATAGTAAGAAATAAAATTATCATGGAAATAAGCTTGTAATTCTGCAATCTTTAGTCTGATTTTTAGAAAGAACAACTCTCCACTCAGCTGATATTTTGCAATATCGTCTCTTACATTCTTTGGAAGAAGTTGTCTTGATAACATGACATGAATTAGAAAACAACTTTCAAGTGTGTGCTCTCCCTGTACATGTGTACTTCACTTTATTTCCACCGCCACAAGATGCTTTTCTTTTGTTTTGGAATTCTAATTTGAGTTCTAACTTGGAAATGTTTCTTATGACACCTCATAGGAACCTGGGAGATGCTTTGCTTTCAATACATCAGAATTTTCAACATGATAGCATTGAATGTATGGTTGCTTGATCTCTCCATGTGATATGACTGAAGCATGTTGATGTGTTTAAAATTCTGAAACAAGCTGTGCCTATTTAATGTGCTACAGGACAGTCAGAATTAAAAGATTTAGCTGCCATGATGGAAGCAAGCACAGGAAAACCTCAGGCAGACATCAGCAGAAGGGACAAGAGCAAATAAACAAGTTCTTGTTCAGAGGATTTACAAAAGCCATTTTGCATTCTAGTGTGAACTTTTACTTGGAGGTTTTTCTCTCTTTGAATTCCATCTGTTTTCATCTAATTGTCTCTACACTAAACCATGGAGAAAGAGAGAGGAGTCATGTCCACGTTGCCCTGTGATTGCGGCATGATGTTACGCATGCTGGTCGGGGTGAGATTTGCATAATAACGAGTCCATATGTAAATATTATGTTGCTAGTTTAATTTTAGAAAGCAGGTAGAAGTGTACTAAAGCTCGTTGCCACTTTACTGGCACATCTGCTGTTTGCATTTCCATAGTTTTTTGAAAACTCATTTTGATAATACTGCAGCTGAGGAAAATTAAGAGTATATTGTTTCCAGGCAATTTCACTAATGGAATGAAGTACGGTACATTTTGTGATACAGCAGTGTGTGCAGAGAACAGTATGTAAACTTTTCAGATTAAACCTTATTTTTCCTTACTGTAGTAAAAGACGTTTATAGAAAGAATGTTTCTAAATGTTATTTTTTTTAATCTGTTTTGTTTTCAGGCATTGCTATTTCTGATGAACTTGATAAGGTAAGATTTACTGTAATGAACGGTAAAAAAAGACAGATGATTGTGATAATTTTAGGCAATGAGAGCTGCATCTCCCTGTCCTGGCATACACTCCTCAGCTCTGTTGGAGGAAATTTGGGTATGAAAAGCTATATGGGTAAGTATAGTATACGTTGGTTCAGAGGAAGTTTGGGTATGAAAAGCTATATGGGTAAGTATAGTATACGTTGGTACGTTAAGAGCTTGATCCAGGATGGGCTGTCAACTATGGAAAAAAAATCTCACTGAGGTAAGAGACTCTAAGTGAGGCCATGGAAAAGCTTTTGATCTTGGTACCATCTTTGCTTAACATACTTTGGGTTACTTTGTGTACTTTGGAAACATTTAGCTTTAAATACCTTTCATTCATGAAATCATGAATTTTGCATTCTAAGATATGATTTGTGAGAATATTTAGGAATACTTTTTTCTCCCTAGATTTGATCAGGAGTGCACAGGAGCATAAGGATCAGTCTTTACTTCCTTGCTGAATGGAATAAACAATGATCTCTTCTGTTTTGGCTTCTTTTGATGTATTACGCAGTTAACATGAATTTTAGTTTTAGTTATCATGAACTCTATGCTGAAAGAGTAATCGAGCTAATTTTTCAAAGTTCCACAGGAAACAGAACACCTTTTTCTTCCCTAATTTCACCAGTGAACAGCAGTATGCTGCTAGTGCCAAGAATCTTGAGTTGTGTTCTTGGTGTCAAAAATCATTACTATCAGGGAAATAGGATCAAAAGGTGTATAAGACACAGGAATAATAGCTAATATAGGAGACAATTTTTAAATATCTTTCTTTTCTCCTGGTAGAATAAGGGCATGAACTTTTCTGACACAAGTGTGTGTAAAATGTCTCCACTGGGTTTTTCAGGAAAGACCAATTAGATAAGTTTGTTCACTGACTGATCACATACAGTCATGTGCATATGGGGCTGCCATTTCAAAATGATGGCCTCTACTTATCATTTTTCCCTTGATCTTGCTTTATCTTGTAGTTCATATTAAGAGTATAAGTGTCTAAGTCTTCCTTCCTCCTATTTCCTTAACTGAGAGGTGATGAGAAATGCAATTAGAATGCCCTTCCATTAAAAACCTTACCTTTAAGAATACTTATGAAGAACTGTTCTTCACTTGGTTTTGTTTGTTGAAAAACACTATGAAATGCTGTTTGTGGGAAGAAAGAGACATTTTGGGCTAGAGCCTGTTATCATGTACTTTTTACATATATTTTTTAGGAGATACTTCTATGTTATTTTTTTTAAATGGTGATAGATTAGTGTTCAAAAACATTCAAGTTTTTCAAATGTAATTGAGATGAGGAACATCATTGGTGTATTTCCTCAGGATCCAGTCTAAGAGAATTTTCTTTAAATTACTGTATACTTCATTGTTTATGATTTGAAATTGGAAGGTGGTGGTTTTTTTTTAAATAAAACTTGACATTATATTATATACATTCAATAGCATTTATTACCTGACAACTTTATAATACTGCATCTGTTTTCACATCTGTTTCTGATGAGGACAGCTAAATTGAAGGTTCTTGAAACTGAAAGTTATTTGGAAAACAAATTTTAAAAAAACAATACAGGTCTTAACATGCTTCCTTCGTGCTGCAACACTCAACAGGCTGTCAGGACAGATTTACAGAAGTGCAATTTTGTTGTCTTCATGGGCTTTATTTCTTGTTTTGCCCCTTCAGGATTTTTAAAGGACATAAAGGCTAGTTCTGTGTTAAGAAATTAAGCGTAGCCAGGACCATTCTGTGGCATCCTGCCTCTGAGGAATGATCCCTTCCATGAGCTAATATCTGAAATGTTCCTGTGACTTGTTTCTAAGTGTATTATTTGGCTTGGGCCAAAAGCAACCAAAGGCTACATGACAATGGTTTAACATTAGACAGAATTTGGTTCCATTTCACCTGAGCATGTTCCCAGGCAATGTTTATTTTTCAGGTATAAATGTAGTCAAGTTCATTGTAGTTCCTTTCCCAGAAATACATGCTGATATTAGAGCTTCCTTATCTAGGCTGTGGCGAATCATTTTCCAAACCATCTGTGCTCTGGATTAATTACTTAACCCTTCAGGTAGATGTCATGGATCTAGAACAGCATGCCCAAAGGTGGCGTTGGATTCTGTTATAATATTGCTCTTACGTAGAAGTCACAAGACACTTAAAACACAATAGTAAATTCTTCTATATGCTCTTCCTTGCTTTATTTTCCTGACAATCAGGAACTGTCTTGGGGATTAGGACAGAGCCCATAACCCTGCTGTTTTATCTGTTGTTTAGATTATGAATTCAGAGAAGACAGAGAAAGCATGTGTATGTTTCTTTATTTTTGTTTCTCATTATCTAAGTATTATTTTTAAAAAACTATTTCTTTCTGGCTGCAGTAACCTCTGGCTGCCTTTGTCAGGGAGTACTTGGTTAGTATTGTTGGTTGATGCAACTCCTTCTCCAAGTAATCCAGTTAATTAGTTAGTTGCTTAGTTACTTGAGCATTTGGATTTGGAAAACTGGTTTGCTCTGAATTACAATCACTTTTGTGGAAGAGTGTTTCATTTAAATGGATTCTTGTCAAATATCTGCTATTATTAGCTTTGTGCCAGTATTTAGGGCTTCAGTCCAAGACAGAGGTAGAGAAAATACAGGCAAACAAGGTCAGTCAAAATGGAAGCTTTTGGTTTGACAGTCTAATAAAATTTCAGAGTTCACTGATATAATTGCAAAAAAAAATTCCTAAAACTACTGCAATTAAAACAGATTTACGGTATAGATTCCCTCCTTTCTCATCTCATTTATTTCAGACTTGCAGAGTTTGGTGTTCGGTCTCGCTTGATGATTCAGACCGTGTCTCTAGGACATGGAAGCTGTGTAAAATCAGCAAGTGGCACCGCTTGTGTAAGGAAAGAAAATGAGAAGAGATGCCTCGTGACTCACAGATTTTAAAGCTGAAGTGCGGAGTTAATATAATGCAAATTTCTGAATTGACTCACTGCACAGAAACTATGCGTGAAAGCGTGTGGTTTTTAGAGCTGCTCAATAATGTGAAGAATTTTATGTTCACAGACAGAGAAATTGAGGTAGGATATTAGTATTTCAGATGAAATTCACAGCATTCTACTTTGATTAAAAAAATTATAGAGGAAGAAACCACTGAATTTCCTGTGAGTTTCAGGTCCTGTCTGTTAGGACACTTTCCTGGGAGATGGAAGTTCAGATTCCCACAGAATTATAGACCAGCCGTGCTACCAGAGCTTTGACCATGTGTATCTTTTCTAAAATTTGCTACTGCTGGGAAGACCCTCCTTGAGTTCATGTCATGAAATAAACTGTAATATACATTGCATTGTAGCATGTCTGCGTTGGAAGATACATTGAGGCAGAACGTAGCCAGGATGCTGTAATGCAGAAATATGTTTAAAATGGGTTGATATGATTGTACCCATTTCGGCAATATTTCTGAACCAGACCATGCGAAATAAGGAGTTACACCCTTTACCTCTTGCCAGAGTTGAAGACTGACTTAAAAAAGTGTGGTTCTAAAGCAGTGTGAAAAGCAGAGGAAGGTTATTCATCTGCCAACTTTTGATTCCCTAAAGAATACTTAATGAATGTTTTCCAAGCTGCTTTTATTATTTAATTTTTTTTGCTTTCCTGCAAATCCTAAGACTACAAATATTTTCTTTTTAAATAGATGAGATTTTCACACAATCCCAACACTCCATGGGTTGGTGCTTTACTTTGTGTAGTGGAGCTCTCACAAAAGTCTCTCATGAAGACTTGTCATAACATTGTGAAATTAGTCCGAAATTACCAGCAATAGCTTTCAGTCACTTTAAACATTAACAATGGGAGACAGATAAGTATTAGAGATCCAGAATCAGACTCAAGTGAAGATGATGGTGTAGGGGAGGACTTTGTAGAGTAGGGTAGATGGTTGGACTCGATGATCCCAAGGGTCTCTTCCAACCTAGATGATTCTATGATTCTATGATCTGATAATTCAATTGAGATTTTGACCAAGGTTAGTATTAAAACATTTTTTTCTATGCTGTTCTTACATGTAGTATTACTACAATGAACACAGGTTATAATTAATAAAATAGAGGAAACAACTATTCTAAGTCATAAAAACAAACACATTTCTCCTCACCCAAAAGTATGTCTCACTGTGGAGGTTCCCTCAAAATCCATATCAGAAATTAGAAATATTGAGCTTTTAAAACTATGCTTAAATCAATGGATACAAAGATGGTGTGGTTGCAGCATCTAAGCCCTTCCAGGGAGCACAACATCTCCACCCAACGTGAAGATGAGATTCAGGTGTCCTTCAGTCTTTCACTTCTTCTCCTGGCCTCCACATAAAGGAAGCTTAAGTGTGTCAAGGTGGTAGCCAATGATATGCATAAAAAGATGACACCTGGACTACAGCATAAAATAATCCTCCTAGGTTCATCTAGTGCAGATTTCAACACCTGCCTCTCCTGAAAATATTTCTGTGTGCACTAATGTCACTGTCAGTCTCTTCTCTTATTTATGAGAGAGTATAAATTGGGGATCCCTCAAGATTCTAAGGTCTTTATATATATAAAGAACCAAACCTATAAAAACTTTTTTAAGAACAGAATACTTCATCTGAGTTTATTGAAGCTTTTGAAATGAGGTGCCAAATAAACATCCCAGTGCTCTCAGTAGGGCTGTCTCCAATTCTCCATGTACTGTTTTCACTGCAGCTACTTATGTAGTTGAAAGGAGGAAAATAAATTAGGTCACTGAAACTGTGGTGTACGAGTCTAACAAGACTCGAAACAGAAAGCCAGGTGATCAACTGAGGCAAAGCATGACTATGTAATGTAAATTACATTTCTATTAAGTAGAATATGAAAGTGATACTTTGTCCCTAAAATGTCTAGAAGAGAAATCAGCGTAACAAGGATAGACACGGCGTTCACAGTTTCCTTATTCGTATGCTGATGGTGCAGCCTCAGGAAAAACGTGGTACTGAAAAAAGGGCAAATTTTTAGGTGCTTTTCATTTTCACTTAAAGGACCGAAAGCTTTTAGCAAAGATTGACACTGCAAGTCGTTGCAAGTTTAACTAGCTCCAGCAACCTTTTTTTATTAATTATTAGACATCATTCTAGGGAGAAAAAGAAGGGAGAAGATGGCTTACAGTAGCAGGAATAAACCTTAGAATGGGCCAAGTGGTCCTTACACTAACTACTGTAGGCACCTTGTGTGATGGAGGCATTGTGGGCAGTGGAATAAGCATTTTTCCTGGGTATAGGCATACGATGGCAGTTGATGGGGAGCTCTAGGGAGATGTCTGGAGGGTGGAGTGTGGTAACAGGCACATTGCAGAAAGCAGAATAGAAGAACAAGGGGGAATGAGTCTAATCCAGGGCCTGGGTCACATTTGGCTCTATCAAAATGGAAGCTCTTGGAATTCTGCTGAGCAAAATTATAGCTTGTGGCTGGAGCAGGGTGAATAGATTCATATGAAAGCAGTTTGCAGGCTTTTTTTGTTTGTTTGTTTCATTTCAGTAGAGGCTTCTACTTCGAACTGTGCTTTTACCATATCTGTGTCAATTAAGAAGAGGCTTTAAAAATGGCTTGTTTTTAGGAAGATGAGACAATATGGTTGCTAGGCTAAGTAATCACTGTGCTGTCCTTCTTCCACATGCTTTTTGTTTGGAAAGCATTGTTTTATGGCAGGGATATTTATTGAGACACTGAGCTAGGTAACAGCCGAGCCTCCTTTCCCTAAAATTTTCTCTCATTAAAGGATAGGAATAGAATATTTCTCTCCTAATTAGGAACACTGTGTTTGAAATGTCTTTGCTAGCCTAGAAAAGAGTTTAATTTAAGCAAAATTATTATTTCTATCCTATCAGTTTATGTCTATTTTTTTGGATACGTGATTGTTTTTCAGTTTGACTATACTGTTGTACGTGATTCTTTATCTACAACCCTTCTGGTAACATTGAGAACAGAGATACTCACCACATCAGAGCAGCCTTTTCATACAATTTTTAAGGACAATTTGTTTCCTTAATCTAAATTCCTAACATAATGATGCAAATCTTCACTATTGTTTTGAATACTTTAGTTGGATTTTGCTTGCTTCTTGCAATCCTCTCCAGTTACCTTCTTCCCATAAATGGTTAAAAATATGACTGCTAGTTTCAGAAATGCATTTTATTAAAATGTTAATACCATTTTCAGAATTGAAAGATACATTATGTAAATCCCAGCAGGGTTATTTTTAAAATGCCGAATGCAGATGTATTTATTAGTTTTGCATTAATTCATAATGCAAATAAGAGTGCTGCTACTAATCTATAACATTCTTTTGGTTGGGGTGTTCATTATACAAGTGACCTCATCTGTTGCTTAGCAGAACTGACACAGTGCTGCTTTTAAGAATTGTGTGTTTGTTAAAACAAAATATAATTTTTCAAGATGATACCCCAGATTTCTGCAGTTGCTATTGAAAAGTAAGAAATAGAAGAGATTTGAGGCATCGGGGTGGGCAAATCTCTCTTGGAATTTTGTTAATGGGATTCTTTTCATTAATCCACAATTTGTTCTGGGTATTCTGTACCCTTTTGAAATTAGAATGTACTGGTTTTGTACTTTCTGAATGAATAGTTTTATTTTCTATTTCTTCTTTTCTTTTCCCATTTACATGTGTGGTTGAGAACAAACAGTACAGTGTTTCTTTTTTTAATTTCTCTTCAGGAAACAACAGGTTTTAACACCCCCCTTCTCAGACCTCGGGTGATTGGAGAATGGATCGGTCGTGAAGAGAATGATGCTGACCCACTGGCTGCTGAGATGCTGCAGCCACCAATACCAAGAAATAAAAACGAGCAGTGGGACAGCGAGGATAGCAGCAGTCCCGGAGGAAGGTGGGATTTGTTTTTCTGCCTAGAAATTTTATGATTTGTGAAGCGGATCTGTCTCTGTAACGCCCCATTTCTGAGAGCAGAATGCAGGGCTTTGTAATTCCCACACCACAGTTTGGCGGCATGCAGAATAAATGGGAGATATTAATATGTGACTGGTTTCTTCTCATGCTTTTATATATGAATAACTTTATATTTGTTTGCAATCCCATGGTTTTATTCCCATGTATAAAGCTAAGTGTATGTTGACAAGATTGGGACTCATTGTGCAATAATTTTGTGATGTGTAGCTTCATTCAGACACTTCATACCCTTCTGTCTTTCAGCAGTTTGTAGTAGCTCTTTGTTAATCTTCTTGACACTTCAGAGATAAATCTGATTTTCTTATTTAAAAGGAAGATAGACAAGGGAAACAGTATCTGTGTTAATTTTAACAGGACTTTCTAAACTAATCCTCAGTTATTATACTTAGCAACTTGGTGTTAATAGCAATTCTTTCTCAAACAGAAAATTGTATTCTCTGTAGTAAATAACTTCTGACAATTTATTGTGTTTGACTGAGGGTGGGGGAGTATGTTTGTTTGTTAATGTGCTTCAGCTACATGGAAGAGATTATAATTTTTCCAAGGAGTCCATTTTCCATGGTTTAAAGATACCTGTTTATCACATAAAGTGAAATATGCACAGCCTTTCTTTAGAAGGCATTCATGCTGTTGTTTTTTTTTAATGTAGAGTTTGTGCACTGCCTCTGGTAATTGCCTTAAACATTTGTGGTTCTCCCTCAGCCCCACAGCCTTTCTCCTTGGTTATAACTAGGACTCTGACTGCAGCAGACGTCTTTTTCTTCCCCTTTTAAGAAGGTAGAAACTCTCTGCTTTCCCTTTGTAAAGGTCTAAGGTATTATGGCAGAATCATAGAGTATCTCAAGTTGGAAGGGACCTATGAGGATCGTCGGTCATCTCCCTGCATCTTGCAGGACTACCTAAAACTAAACCGTGTGACTAAGAGAACTCCTTGAACTCTGATAGTCTTGGTGCCGTGATTTGGGGAGCCTGTTCCAGTGAGAATGACCACCCTCTCACTGAAGAAAGTTTTCCTAATGTCCAATCTGATCTTCCTGTGATGCAGCTTCATCCCATTTTCTCATGTCATCCCGTTTTCTCATCCCTTTCTCTCATCATTTTCTCTCATCCTGTCCAGAGAAAGGACATCAGCACCTACTGCTCCACTGCCTCCCTTGAAGAAGTTGTAGACTGGGCTACAACTTGAAGAAGTTGTAGACTGGCATGAGGTCATGTCTCAGCCTTCTCTTCAAGCTGAACAAGCCAGGTGACCTCAGCCACTCCTCCTAAGTCTTGCCCTCAAGGTCTTTCACCATCTTGGTTGTCCTCCTCTGGACACCCTCTAATAGTTTGATGTTCTTCTTCTATTGAGGTGCCCAAAGTACTGCACACAGTACTTGGGGTGGGGCTGCACCAGTGTGGTGTAGAGTGGGACAGTCACCTCCCTCAACCAGCTAGCGATGCTGTGCTTGATGCACCCCAGGACATGGTTAGCCATTTGGGATGCCAGGGCACACTGTTAACTCATATTCAACCTGCCATCAGTCCATACCCCCAGATCCCTTTCCACAAGACTGCTCTCCAGCCTCTTGTCCCCCCCAGTTTGCATTGTGAATGTTCCTTCACCATGTCCTCCATATGCCTTCTACGCTGGAATTCACCTCCCTGTCACTGGGAAACTAGTCTGTCACTTGCTGTACTCTCACAGGCTGTATTCATTAACTTTCCTCACATGTTGGGAATGTTTGCTATCCACGAGTACTTCTTTCTTCTTTTAATTAGATTATTGTGGGGGTAGCTGCAAGTACTACTATTTCAAAGCAGCAGCAGCGTGTACTAATGTAGCCAGACATTGGACTGGAACCAGCAGGACTCAGACACTGGGTGTCTCCAGTGCAGTTCCTGGGAAAATAACAGAATCAGCAACTGGCACTGGAGCTTCACTGTGAGGGCCTGGGCTTCTTTTCACTTACTCAGCAGCCCCGTAAAGACACTGAACAAAGATCTGTTCCCCATTTCAGAGCAAACTGAGAATATCGTGTCCCTTCCCTCACTGGGAAGGAGCAGAAATAAGCAGCTCTGATCTCTAGGTGGGAGCAAAGAGGTTTAGTTCTGAGTAACAAAGATGATTCAAAGCAGCATATTTTTCTCTTTGTAGAGGGTGGTGCAAGCTGTGAGAGACCTCACAGCTAAGGCTGTAATTAAAAAATGTGATTAATGGCTTTGAGAACAGTATTTGAGAAGTCTTGTTGAGTATCATGACAAAATCACATTGCTTGATGTAAGAAATAAGGAGACTATGGGGTACTTGGTGCCAGGAAAGACTCATAGGACACTGATATCTGTAGTTTTAAGGGTCAGTAAGCAATGAAGACCTGTTGAAAAAAATGTATCGATAAATGGGAATACTGATTTTCAGTGGAAATTAATAAGTAGTAAATTACATGCAGCATATGGATTTACATTTGGATGACTGATTTTATGTCTGGGATAATTCTTTGCTTCATTAGCATTTCATCAGCTTTTGTAAGGCATGTATAAAAAGCATATTTTCAGTCTTGCAAAATAATCATAAAATTGCAGAACTTCAAGATAGAGGTGACACTAAAAATGGTGCCACCTATAAATGGAAGTTTAAAAGACCTGTATTGATCAAGGTTAATCTGAATGTTTAATAATAATTAACTAATACAGGCAGTTTCTTCAAGGTCTGATTCAGTGTTACTGGGAATTAAAATACTGTTAGCAGAATTTGGAACTGACTATACATCAAATGCATGAGACAAGTAATAGGTCATAATAATTTAATTTTAATGTAGCATATACCTAGTACATCCATAATTAGTCGGACTAGTATGGATTTTATGAGATTAAATGAAACTCTCGAAAGAGTGAATTTGCTATCAGTTGTAAAGAATTTTTGGCTACCTCATCTGTATTTCATTCATCTACTTTGTAGTTAATGTAGCCTGAAATAATTCAGTTACGTTTTTACCTGGTAACTAAAAGAGGGAGCAATTTGAAATTCATATTAAATGTTGCCAATTATATCTTGTTAAATTTGATTTAGCAACACTTTTAATAAAAAGTGATAGTTTATTGATCACTAATTATCAGGATTTATGTGATAAGCCTGCAAAGTCTCAAAACTAACCCTAATCATCAGTTACAGCATAAGAACAGGAAAGTGAAAACTGTAATCGTCCCATTGTTTCCAGGTAATGTTTTCTGTTACTTGTCACTAAAAGTAAGGAAATGCTAACAAAATGAAATAAATAAGCATCCAGAGGGATTTGGTATTGACAGATCACTGGTAATTGCCATAACGGTCATGCAACTCCCACTTTCTGTGTTGTTCTCACAGACCATAGTGTAGACCATAGACTTTTTCTGTTTGGTGTCAGGGGAAGCCATGGGTGCTTATACATCCATAGCATTCTATAGGGGACTGAATAGGCTGCAGAGAACAGCATATTCCAATGGACTGCTGGTCTGCTGATAACATGCCTGTTTTCAATATTGGTCTTTCCAGTATAAAGCAGATACATACACAGTATGTATACTGTGAGTATACACAGTACACAGTATTTGGGAATCTGAGTTTTCTGCTTTTTCTGGGCTGCACAGGGAAGAGTGTGGCCAGCAGGTCAAGGGAAGTCATTCTCCCCCTCTACTCTGCACTGGTGAGGCCACAACTGGAATCCTGCGTCCAGTTCTGGGCTCCCCAGTTCAAGAGGGACAGGGAACTACTGGAGAGAGTCCAGCGAAGGGCTACAAAGATGATTCAAGGATTGGAGCATCTCCCTTATGAGGAAAGACTGAGAGAGCTGGGACTCTTTAGCCTGGAGAAGAGAAGGCTGAGGGGAGACCTTATCAACGCCTACAAGTATCTCAAGGGAGGGTTGAAGGAGGAGGGAGCCAGACTCTTTTCAGTGGTTCCCAGTGAGAGGACGAGGGGCAACGGGCACAAGTTGGAACATAAGAGGTTCCACTCAAATATGAGGAGAAACTTCTTCACGGTGAGGGTGACAGAGCCCTGGAACAGGCTGCCCAGGGAGGGTGTGGGGTCCCCTTCTTTGGAGATTTTCAAGACCCGCCTGGATGCTCCTGAGTAACATGCTCTGACAAGCTCTAGGCAATCCTGCTTCAGCAGTTGGACTAGATGATCTCTATGGTCCCTTCCAACTCTAAAAATTCAGTGAAATTCAGTGAAAATTCTGTCTTTGCAACCACAAAACTCACTTTCTGCTGCGTTCAGTAGTGGACAGTGGGAAAGAACCACTGTTTCCTCCTTAAAAACATACATTCCTGTGATGATGAGCAATGACAGAACATGTGTTGTATATCTGAAAGCCAGGCCCAGTTACTTAAAAAAAGAAGGGCAATTAATTTTGAGCAACTGAAAGGACAGGTTTCACTTCAGCGTTGGCTGGGAAAGGTAGTGTAGGCAGTCTGAGGTAGCTGTGTCTTGTCAAACTGATGAAGGGTCACCTTCTTGCCATTAATGTTCTGGCTTGTTATAGAGGAAAGACTCTATTTGTCACTGGTTTTGTGCTGCTATGTGTTGATGGTGTAAGGGTGCAAGATAAAGTATTAGGATGTGATAAGTGACCATATAAGAGTGCTGATGGCAATACTGCTGGTACCGAGCTCATCTTTCAGAAATTTGAACACTGTGAAAATAGGATTAAACTCATTTCCAAGTCATTGTTAGTAGTTTTCTACATGATAAATTTCCTGGAGAAATTTTGAGAAGTAAGGCTCTTGGTAACTTCCCCAAGGGATAATGTGTGTACAGAGTGGGGGATTTGGGTGATTTTTAATGTTTCTTAGAGCCTGAAATGAACCAGAGCTTGCAGAAGCTCCATCCGTAACCTGATGTCCTGAACTCAAAGCCCATTCTTCATCTCCAAGGTCCACTTTGTCTTATTGGTGTTCACCTTTGCAGTGGGAAATGGACTATCATTAATTATACTAAGTTTCATACATTTGCAACAGATTTGCTTTCCTGCAACAGGATGTAGGAGTCTGAGGTGTTGTCAATACCCTCATGCGGGGCACAAAACTTCTATCCTGTTGTCTTTATCCTGATATTGTAAGGAATCAGAAATTGCTAGCTCTCCTACCTTAGACCCTTCTGCTAACTTCCGTGCAGTTCCAATTGTCCGTTATTTACGTTAGGGACAGAAGTCAACCCATGAAAATTGTTATAATTATATAGTCCTCAATATAAGTCCTATAGTCCTTAGAGCCACGAAGATGATGAGAGGGCTGGAGCACCTCTGCTATAAGTACAGGCTGAGAGAGTTGGGGTTGTTCAGCCAGGAGGGAAGAAGGCTCTGGGGAGACCTTAGAGCCCCTTCTAGTCCCTAAAGGGACTCCAGGAGAGATGGGGAGGGACTCTTGATCAGGGAGGGGAGCAACAGACGAGTGGGAGCAGTTTTAAACTAAAAGAGGGGAGATTTAGATGAGATCTCAGGAAGAAATTCTTTGCTGTGAGGGTGGTGAGACACTGGAAGAGGTTGCCCAGAGAAGCTGTGGCTGCCCCATCCCTGGAGGGGTTCAAGGCCAGGCTGGATGGGGCTTGGAGCAACCTGGTCTGGTGGGAGGTGTCCCCGCCCAGGGCAGGGGGTTGGAACTGGATGATCTTTAAGGTTCATTCCAACCCGAACCATGATTCTATGGTTAATCCTGTGGGGTGGTGGTAACATAATCACTCAAGGGAGCAGTTCTTTGTTCTCAACTTTGTTGCTGTGCTATCAATACCTTAACAATAATGATTAGTAATTGACATCCTGTTGTTCTTTATATGTTGCTTATTTAGACTCGATTGATGCCCATAAAGTCAATGGGAAATTTCACCTGATCATTTGATCAAAACTTTAGATAGGAACTGAAGACACAAATTGACTTACCGCATTCAATGATCAGCGGAATGAGTGACAACCAGTTGGTTTATGTGTCATCTGGTGGCATTAACGTTGAGATCTGGAGGACATCATGGACTACAGTAATTTGACAAATGTTTGACATAAAGTTGTGCTTTCCTCCCTCACAGCTTAAAAATGGAGCCCAAGACCAAAGGACTAAAACAACAACAGCAGCAACATAAGAAACTGCTGGCTGCCATGCTTTCTCAGGACTCATTTGATTCTGCTCAAAGCACAGCTCCATCTGTAACCGAAGAAGATATTGACAATGAAGATGATGCAATGGAACTGCTGGGTAACTGCAAAAAATTATGTGCATTTTCTGATTTTTTATTATAGATTAATCTAATGAGTGTAATATCTGATCAAACATAATTAGTTTGAATCTGCTCCCTATGTTTGAAGCTAAAGTGTCCAGCAGCTGTGTGAGGGTTCATAGGGTTTAACTTGCAGTTTTCAGGAGTGAATGTAACAAAGACTGTATATGTGTGTGAATAAACTGCTAGCTGCTTCAAAATCCTCTGAGATACCAAACATTTCAGGTGCTTAAAGTAATCCATTTGGTTTCCTACCTAAATCACTTACAGGTTCTACTTGGAGAATGTATTTATGTAGAAGGAGCAGAATCAGCTTCACTGGCTTTCATCTAGTTCTTTTTGTTAGCTTTATCACAGCTCTAACTTCAGCGGGTTTTATTTGAGATTTACTAGCTACAAATATCTTATGCAATGTGAATTTGTAACCTCTGCAGAGGATTTGATTGTAATTTTCCAGTAGACTGTATTGCATGTTAAATTGCACTCTGGAAGGCTCTGTGCTCACTGCTTTCTCCCTTTCCTAGAATTACTAGTTCTGACAGGAGAGAACTCGTTGAAGAAAGTTAATCAGTAATCTCTTTTCTGCGATTTTTAAAGGGTCAATCTAAGATGGTTAAGAGGTAGTCATGTATTTAATTTTTTTTTTTCCCCAGCTTTTGCTATATAGAACTTTATGTGGGATCCAAGCAGAGGAAATACAGAATCTCAGGATAACTCACCATTCTTACATTTATGAATGCTATCACAAATTATTTACTTCTGGTTGGACCTTAGTCTAAAAATCAGAAAAAAACATGGTACTCTGTTTCTGTTATATTTTTGTTGTTTTCTTACTGCAGTCTTTATAGGATCACAGAGTAGTTGAGTTTGAAGGGGGCTGCTGGAGACGTTCAGTCCAACCCCTTGCTCGAAACAATCAGGTAGAGCAGGTTGGTCTGAACATTGTTTAGTTGGGTTTTTGACTCTGTCCAATAATGGAGACTCTACGACATCTCTGGGCAACCTATTCCAGTGCTTGACCATGCTCGTGGTAAAATAAGCTTTTTGTTATGCTTAAATAATTGTGAATTAACATATATTTTATTTTTTTCAGTAGTTTTTTAAGTTCGATGCATGAATTGTTTTTACAGAAAAGAAGAGGTAATGGGTTGGCTCACTCAAGGGTCACAGTGGGTCAGTTAGTTCTTTGTGTTTGAAGGAAGTCACACTGTTTGTGACTGTGGGCTGGCACTCTTCATGGAATCAGTTAGTATTTCCAGAACTAATCCGTGGATTACAGGGAAGGCCATAAGTAGTCCGAAGCTGCATTATCTCCTTAGTTGCTCCTGCAATTTACAGATCTTTCCAGTTTTTTGGTGTGACATAAAAAGCAAGCTGAATGGGTGTCTTGTACTGACATAAACCACGGGACTCCTAAAGCAGTATTGGGTGGCATCTGGAAAGTACAGTGTGTCTGTGTGTGTGATGTTGTTGGCCTTGTTATGTATCACATACAGATTAACATCCTTATGTTGAAGAAAAGTTATCAAATAGATGTGTAGGTCTTTCCTTCTAGACATTTGAGTCCCTCAAGGTATCCAGAAGCAGAAAGGCAGGATAAAGGAAATTTTATTTTCTAGTATTTTGATGTTTGGGCGGAATATCATAGAATCATAGAATCATTGAGGTTGGAAGAGTCCCTTGGGATCATCGAGTCCAACCATCTCCCCTACTCTACAAAGTCCTCCCCTACACCATATCCCTCAGTACCCCATCTAAACGTCCCTTAAACACATCCAGGGATGGTGACTCAACCACCTCCCTGGGCAGCCTGTTCCAATGCCCGACCACTCTCTCTGTGAAGAATTCCTTCCTAATGTTCAGTCTAAACCTACCCTGTTGGAGCTTGAAGCCATTCCCTCTCGTTCTATTGTTAATTACCTGTGAGAAGAGACCAGCCCCAACCTCTCTACAGTGTCCTTTCAAGTAGTTGTAGAGAGTGATGAGGTCTCTCCTCAGCCTCCTCTTCCTCATACTAAACAGTCCCAGCTCCTTCAGCCACTCTTCGTATGATTTGTCTTCTAGGCCCCTCACCAGTTTCGTTGCCCTCCTCTGCACTCGCTCCAGCACCTCGATATCTCTCTTGTATTGAGGTGCCCAAAACTGGACACAGTTTTGTGTACAAACAAATCTGTGTACAAACAAGTGTTTTGTTGTGTTTGGTTTTTTTTTAAGAAGGACTCAATTATAAGATTCCATTCTGGTTTTTTGTGCCATGCAAAGCCTGGAACATTTGCCATTCATGCTTTTCATTGAAAATGGCAAAGTTTGTACAAAATCAATTTAAGACTAGGAAAGTTCCTAAACAGCACCTCTGGTTTGGGTAGAGTATCATACCTGAGATTGTGATTCTGAGTTTCTGAAGCAAAATCATGGCATATTTGATGAATAGCCATGATTATAGTGATTATAATATCGCCATGATATTGTAACTACCACTGATAGAAAGTTCAACGTGCACATCTTGGTGTTGAAAGTGCTGTGCTTTTGAAAGAGTGGCTTTTATTTTAATTTTCATTTTGCAATTTGCTGACAGTGTATGGTTTATAGTTGAAATAACAGTTAGGTCGCATCCTGCAGAACTGCTCCAAACTTGAGGATATGACAAAGCGTTACACAGGAAGGGTGTTTTATTTTCTTTTGAAAGTAATATAAAGAACTTAAGTTTTTATCAGCAAACACAGGTGTTTTTCATTGCTGTATTTTCCAGATCGGTAACTATATGATACTGGGATTGATTTTTATTTTTTTTTTTAATTATGTACTGCATTAATCCATTAACTGCTTTGATGCCTTTTACATTGCTTATATGCAACATAACTAATTTCAGATCATGGCTTTCTGCCATCACTGACTTGCAGGGCATTGTTGCATACAGCTACTTTTGTTCCCTTTAGAGTTCAGTATTCATTGCTTATTCTTAAAAAATTACAAAACCTCACAGTTCTAAGTCTGGATTCTAGAAAAAAAAATCTGCTATTTATAGTGGATGATTTTACTGCATACCCTACTTATAATGCAGGTTTTTGCAGAACACAAACTTCCATCTTTATGTGTGTTCACGAGAACCTTTTTCAGAGTTTGGTTGGTTTATTTAGGTATTAAAAAGCATGAAACTGACTGTTGGTGTATTTTCTTTTAAAAAAACCCTTCCTAGTGCTCACATCAGAATTTGCAATGAAGGTTTAGCTAGAATGTAACACTCCAAATAGAGGAAACAATGTTCTGCTTCTGAAGAATCCATTTCAAAAGAAACACGTGCAAAAATGAAAAAGAATATTATGGGGTTACATTCTGATTTCAGTTATCACTCTTTATGTATAACATAAGATGCATAGGAGGGCTGTGAACGCACTGGTGACTTTCTAAGTGTGTTCAGTTATGCAGGTGGCTGGAATAGATTACTGGCAGAGAACATCCCAGTGGAAAGGATCTTCCTGACTTTAAAAAGCTGAGAACTGTAACTGTAAAATCACATGTATTTGTAAATGTAAAAGCGTAAGGCAAGTGAAGTCTGGGACTGAAAATGATATCAAACGGCTCATTTTGTAAACATCAGAATGCCAAGTATTGTGATTTGTAAATCTAATTGGGAGCTGAAGTAGTTCTTTGTGAAGCTCTGCAGTCCTTTTGAAATTCCATGACATTTGGGCTTAAGCTGTCTTTCGCATTTGGCTGAAGTCCACTGAGACTTTAAAATCACATTTCCTCAGTATCTCACTGAAGTCCGTTGGAGGGGACTGAACTGTATTTTCCCTGAAATTGCCAGGAATATTGATTGAACAGTCACCAAAGCATGACTTACTGGTTTTAAAATATCAGTTGTTTGATTAAGTGTAAGAATATCATCATTTAAGTGTGTTGCTATGCATAAACATAGACATGGTAAAAGCTAAGTTTTTTTGTATATTTAAGTTCAAGTGTGCTACATTCTTGAGCTTTTTGCAGGTAAGGAACATGAAAAAGAAATTCTGTGTTGTTTTATACATTATTGATATTGAGCCATAATGCTCAGTCACCTCTTGTTGTTGTCCAATCTTTATATGTGCTCACAATATTAAAAATGTTACCATATGCTAATACAATGTGCAATAGCTAACTATGAAACACCACTCCCAAGAGAAGTGTACCCGGAAAGCTCACACAGGTGTTGACATGAAAGGTGGTGAAAATTGAAGTTCCTTTCCTCCTGGCACATTGATGCATATGTCAGTCTGTGTGATTCTGAAAAGCCTCCATGATTTCAGAGGAAATAATCCTATATCTGAGCTAAAGTTAAGTGTTTGCAGCATCAGGACTTGTGAAACCATCTCTTCTTCAGAGCTGGTTTCACAGTAATAGTGTTTCTTTTGGTCAATGCAGAAATCTTAAGTGAAAGTTCAGTGATTGTCTGCATCATGTTTATTACGTATAATTCTTGCTATGCAGTAACAAGCCAGAGTCGTTGCAAATAGCAATGCACTTCAAGTAGTAATATATTTTTTAACTGTTGCTATCAGGAGATACCTGATGTCTTCTGTTTGCTTTAATATCTCTTCCTCTCATCTTTAGAATTTCTGTTTTCCTCAAAAGCTTTCCAAATGTTAATTTCTTAATTATTGTAACACCCCTGAAAGACTGACTGGTGATATATTTACATTTTATAACAAGAGGAGATAAACAGGATTTAGGCAGGTGATATATTTATTTATAACAAGAGGAGATAAACAGGATTTAGTGGCGATTGCCTTTGCCTGTAGAATAAGACAATAACTCAGTGTATGGTAGTCTACGCCTTATATACTCTATACTCCTTTTCTAATAAGTCTCTGGGTGCTTTAACGAAATGATGTCCAATCTGCAGTGCTTTCAGTACATTTCAGTCTGGTTCAACAGAAATTCCTGATTTCCCTGTTTCCTAGAGGTCCTTGACAACATGCAGGAAACAGTCTCTAGACCT